GGACCTTAGTTAAATAGTTACCCATTATAGTCGTTCAGTGGTGGCCCAAGGGGATCTGATGGGGTGGGTCCAAACACAGGGCCGACTAGACCCTCGGTCAGAGTCCCGGAAAAAAAAAAAAAACATCCCTGGGCTTATTAGAGTGTTTTTTTTTTTTAGCTTAGTATGGCCCAAAAATTTGCTTTTAAACCAAAATATAAGGGATTGGCAACCAAAATAATTTTTTACGGATAAGCAAATCATTATTTGTGGTGTGGTGGCATCGGACGATGGGAGTCTAGGCCTGTCTGACGGGAATTCCCACCATACAACTGTTTTAAGTCCTTGCACGAACTTTGTGAAATGAGCTGAAGTTGTAATTGTAAATTGTGTGCTTTTGGGGCAAGCGAGTACTGCTGACTCCGCTCTACACAGATAGGCCTCATGCAGACATCGCCGGCCTGGGTCAACGACATCAAGAGCAATAGACTTAAACATACTGTACACACAAACATAGATTTATGTCAATTGACCTTGGATGTTAGCGGGCGCTGTTTAAACTACCGAACTGCGAATTTGCTTATTTTAGTATTACTAAAAGCGGAATGATCATGTTCTGTTTTGGGTTTACCTGACCCAGGATAGTTAGTACAGTATTATTATTAGAAAAAGTAGATATTTCTCACATTGCTCAAGTAACTAAATCACAACGGACGTTTGCCAATTCTTAAGTACAGAGAGATTAATAATACCACTGTAGTATAAAATGCTTGTTTTACAATATCGTATTGTTTTGGTTTGGTAGACTACTAGTACTGTACACAATGACTTAATACATTAAGGCTCTGTACCGTCAACAAAATCGATCATACCGGCGCACAATGTTAACGTTTCTGAAATAAATTCGCGAAGACAAACAACCATAACAACAACAAACACCACCACATCAAAACAAGTTAAGCATACGAACTTTAATAAATGTTGCAGAATACTGCTATAGGCGAACACTACATACACAATAAAAATAGGTTTAAATAAAGGAACGATAGAAAAAAAAGACACTGTTGTCATACATGCAAAGTCTAGTCTAGTGGACCTTTCCAGAGGGTCAATCAAACTGACCAATCAGAAAAGGGTCAGGAATATGCGCGTCTAACAAGAACACGCACGTGTCGATTTGTAGGACCTTAGCAACAATATCGAAGGGGCGGGGCTTAGTGGAAAGGTCCATCGGTGACACACTCGCACACAAATGGCTCAGATTTTCCCAAATTGACTTTACAACACTCATCAGTCGCAACATATAAACAAGATGTAGCCTTATCAAATCCTTGAAACGAATATAAATATTTCCAATAAACCCACTCTTCCACAATAGATAGATTTTAAGGGGTAATTTCTAAAGCTTTGTAGCAAAACACAGCCTATAAGATCACATAGAAGAATAATGATGATAGAGCATTTACAAACAACTACAGTACACTTTAAATACGAACTCAAAATTCATAATGCTGTCTTACCAGACCATTACATAATTGTCTAGACCTTCAACATGGTAAAATACAACTAAAGAGGTTAAAATTCTATAATACTCCTCCAACCGTATTGTGAAATGCTACAATACCCCAAGATGTTGATAAAATAATAATACTAGCACCAAAATTTAAGCCTGAAAGTTTTGAACACAATTAGAACAATCCAAATTTGAAGTTTGACAGTGTGGAACGATCCAAGTTTGGAAGTTCACGAACTTTGGAAATATCCAAGCCTGGAAGTTTGGCAGCGTTTAACCATCCAACCCTGGAAGTTCCACAAGATTTGCACCTTCAAAATTGGATGTTCGGAAAGTTCATCCAAGTATATGAAAGTCTCAAACATATAAACTGTGGAATTTTGAGAGTTTACACCCATCAAATTCTACATCAAATTAACCTTACATCTCATGGTAAAAGCAACTCACTATTTGGCGTTTAAATAGACGTACATCCTTATCTATCATCCATAAACTTATTGCGAATAGGATACGTATTTACACAAATTGTCAACTACAAAGCACATATATTGAAATAAGTCGATATATATTTTGCACAAAAGGCTAAAGATTGTTGAATAAACATCTTCACCTGATATCCTATCGGTTAACTTTAAACTCTACAAACAGTATAGAAACAAACTATGACGTCACATTACATATGGAAGCATTTTTCTGAACAATTTGTAAATATTTCAAACTCAAATACAATAACTTCGTAGTTTCTTCCTCACAAAACATGGTTGTTTGTTTTGTTTGGTCATGTCAGACCAACGGATGTGTGTGTGTGTGTGTGGGTGGGTGTGTGTGTGTGTGTGTGTGAAAGACATTGTGATGCAGACTGTAATTGAAAATCTCACAGAAAACAATATTACCATTACATTTTCTCCAGGTCAATGCTGTTATTATATTCTTCCTGTGGTGTCACTCCAATGAATTCTACACCCCATCGCAATTTCCTTTGTTTTTAGAAGCTATTAGGCTTACTATGTCCACACAACTTCCTTTTATCTGTGGGGGCTCCAAACTGCATCTTTAATAGTTTTTTTTTTTTCTATTTACAAATAGAAAATAATCGACTAATGTCACTTGAAAACAATCGCTTACTTTTTAATTTTGTTAATCAGCATGCTTTAAATTGTTTAACTGGCGTTTCAGGGGCTAAACTCATTAACTATGCATACTAACTGTTATATTCCCAAATAGAATCATGATATGCCTATATAATATAGTCATGATGTGATGTTAACTCATTAACTATGCATAATAAATGTTATATTCCCATATATAGCCATGATGTGCCTATATATATGGTCATTATGTGATGTCATCACGACTATATTTATTCAGTTTTTTATACTGTATTAATTTATGACACCTCAGCTTGTACTATGCTTGATGCTTGCTTGTACTATGCGACAACTTATCCTTATAGTTGACATCAACAATGTCTATAAAATACTTTCATACAAACATTAAACCTAGAAATAAATAGTGTCTACTTCTCTAATTAATATTTGTTGATCATTCTGAGTTGGAGGGAGGAGATTTGTACAAGTTTTCACTTCTAAAAACCTATTTTAAACAAAAATATTATAAAACAGAACTTTAGAACATGGTTTTCTGATGATGCAATAACTTACTTACTTTAAAAATAACAATATGCACTAACTAATTTACTTTAAATAAACTCCAAAGGTTTAATGCACGTTTGTAGCTTGACAAAAACATGCATGTATTAAGGCCAACATAGACAGGGTCGTATGACGCAATCCAACGCGGATTATCGTAGGGAGCAGTCTTTAACTTTTCATGAGAATAAAATATTAAACATGTTTAATATTCTACGATGCAACTATCCAGAAGCGTCAGCGTTTACTTACATAGGTCGCGTCGGGCTACGTCGTCGTACAACGCTGAGTTGGCCAACATTATTATTACATGTCTTATAGGCTCAGAACAGAAATAAAATTTCGAGATTAACGTAGCACCAACATAAAAACCTTAAGTCAAAAACTAAAGGCGCTGTGCATTCACATATTCATTTATGTTACATAAATTTCCACCATGTAACTAATAAGAATGCATTAGGCTTCTTACACTTAAATGCAAGTATTTTTTATCTTAATTGTTGTATAAACAGTCTAAAACAATTTCAAGGTGTCTAGGAGTTAAAAAAATAATTCAGAAAAATTAATACAGTACATAAAAATAATAAAAATAACAATTATAATAAAAATAACTACTAAAAAATAAATATTAATGAAAATAACAATAACAACAATTAATCAAGAAAATAACAAATAGCAACAATGATATTTCTAATATAAATAATGAAATGACTAATAAAAAATGTTAATACAATACTAGAACATTAAAAAATGGGTTGTCAGCATTTCAGATTGGTAATAACTACAGCATAGCAATTACAGAATATTGTCTGTTTGAATCGCTTATAAGCAGGCGGCTGTATAACTGTCCCTAAAGTGAGTGTATTCAGAGTTGGATCAGCTCGACATATAAAGGTTAAATGTTATTCATTTATATTTATATAAGGCCACTTACAAGCAGGCTGCTGTGCAACTGTCCTCAATGTGATAGAGTGTATTCAGAGTGGGATCACCAAGACACATATAAGGCCTCTTATTAAAGACAATCACAGGATGAAGAGGTAGGATATTTACATTTCAAAAAGCATTATAATATGTCTCAATATAGCTATGACAATATGAGCACACAACTGTATAGAATTTCACATAGGATGCAACTGCATTTCTAAACTCAATACCATGGACAGTCAATGACCGATATTAACAAACCATAACATACACTCTACACTTAATAACATTATGTTGAATTTATTTAAAATTAATTTTGATTTTAAAGTACCACCTGACTGCAAGCCATGACATTTTGCAATGACACACTGTTTAACATTTATCACTGCCAATAACAATCTAATTTTAACAAACAATATTATAAATATATCGACTTATAATTATTTTATCAGATGTACGTACGAATTCCTAGCAACGTCAAGCAATCAGGAAATTACGTGCCATTGAGGAAATATTTTAAGAAACATCTACTTTATAACCATTCCAGACATATACTGTAATTCCATCCCCTTGAAGAAACATCATGCTGGGCTTAAATATGGGATATTTCAACAAGGACATTGACATTGATATTTATTTGCTGTTTTATACATTGCTAATTTCAACAAAGTGGGCTAATCTATGTTTTTACAACTAATTTTGCAAATATAACCCACTACTGGGGTTAAATATATTGCTAGAAATGGTTTTACAAATTATGTTTCAAATAAAACGAAAATGTCTGCCATTTATATATTTCACCAGAAATGGGTTTTGTAAGTAATATGTATGCCATGTATGCCTATGTTATTTCCTGTTGGTTAACTTTTATTCATTATTATAAAAATGTTGGAAGAGTAAAGAAAGGTTAGAAACATATTGTTTACCATAATTGGGAAAATTAATTGTATCGTATTGTTTGTTCTTATAAGTACAATATTCAGTTTACATGTGACAATGTTTTCATTTACATACTGGAGGATGGGTCTTTACTATTATAAGGGGGTGAGTCACCAGTGATGTCCACTAAAGTGGGGCCACCAGTAGGAGGGGCAAGTGTTCTCATCCTCTTCAACATCTCCTGGACGCTCATATTCATGCCGGACTGGCTTTGAGCTTGCTGGGCTGTGCGGGGAGTGGCTTGGGCGATGCGGTTGCGCTCAGCAATGGCTTGCTGCATCGCTAAAATGTTACGTTGGACAGCAAGATTCTGCTGGGTAAGTTGCTGCACATTCTAAATGTAGAAAGAAAAAAATTTATATATATTTGTTTATGTCTATTACGGCAACGCATACATCTACTTTGTACATTCATAAAGCTAAACTAAATCCCTTCTGAGCCACTGGGGATCATAGGGCAAGAGCTTATCCCCAGTTTCTGTAGTGTGAAGCGGATGAGAGTTGTCCTCCCCCTGGATGGGAAACTAGTCCATCGCAGGTTAGTCCCCAGCAGTTTGCTGGTACGCATTGATACAGCTGGGTGGACTGAAGCAATGTAGCTAAAGTGCCTTGCCCAATGACACAAGCGAATCTGCACAGTAGAGACTTGAAACCCCGACTTACGATTGAAAGCCCAAACCTCAGCCACTGTGCCAAACTGCCGCTACTTGTGCATTTATACATATATATATATATATATATATATATAGAACTGGAGGTCGCTGGAACAGAATGTTGCTACTCGGAGTTTCACGTTATTGCGATCGTCAGGCAACTGAACTGATATATATATATAGATATATATATATATACAGTTAAACCTAAGTCGGTCTTATTTTACATGCCAAATTGTTGTCTTTTAATAAAAATTTATATATTGTGTGTCTATATATATATATATATATATACACATCTTATATATATATATATAAATTAAGTAATAGCAGACATAGTACAAGCAAGGTAAGACATTATTATTATTAATATTATTATTATTTTTATTATTATTGTCATTAAACACAATTATACAGAATTGTTCACTTACCGGCATGTTGTACATATTCTGCTGAGCAGATCGAGAATACTGCAAAAAACAAAAATAAACACACGTCCAAACTATCAAATTTTATTTGACAAAAACATGTGACATGCCTAAATATGGTCATGATGAATTTTATAATCTCAACAAAGCCTTAAACCTTTCTACTGCCAGATTAAGCCATACAATACTTAATGTATACTTGGTTGGCACATTGATCTTAAGCCTACGATAATGATAAATTTATCAATCATTTTACAAGAACAAAGTTTCTTTAAGATAATGAATATCGGCAGACAGACACTGAGGATGTCTGGCAATAGGCCTAGAGAAACCAAGGTTGTTACTCTTATTTTGGGATGAAATTACCTTAATTCTCTAAATCATTACAATCCTGTAGAGATGCTACTTACCTGTTGCATCAGCATTGGGTTCAACATTCTTTGACCCGTCATCAGTGTATCGCGCCCTTGTTGATACAAATGCTGAAAAACATTACAGACAAAAGTTAGGCCCCTGTTTTCAAACATTTAAAAGTATGAGCTAGTCCACAGGGCTTTGAGACTCCGGTATACATCGAACTACTACATTACCATAGGTGCCTAGTTGGGTGCTTTTGGCTCGAGAATCAACACCCAACTCACCCCAACGCGTGCGCTGCGGTACTCACCACGGTGTGCGCTGCAGTACTCACTATGGTGTACGGTGTGCGCTGCTGTACTCACCACTTTATGCGCTGCTGTACTCACCACTTTATGCGCTGCTGTACTCACCACTTTATGTTCTGCGGTATTTAACACTGTGTGCACTGTGGTACTCACCTTGGTATGCACTTCCGTACTCACCACGGTGTGCGCTGTGGTATTTAACACTGTGTGCACTGTGGTACTCATCATGGTATGCACTTCCGTACTCACCACGGTGTGCGCTGTGGTATTTAACACTGTGTGCACTGTGGTACTCACCATGGTATGCACTTCGGTACTCACCATGGTGCGTTGCGGTACTCACCAAGGTGTGCGCTGCAGTACTCACCACAGTGTGCACTGCGATATTTTACCACGGTGTGCGTTGCAGCACTTACCACGGTGTGAAATACGGTACCCACCACAATGTGTGCGCTGCGGTACTCACCATAGCGTGAGTAAAGGATTGGCACCTTTAGCAGCCTTGAAATGGCAATTTATACTTTTTTCGAATGCTTTTTATTACATCTGAAATTGATATTCTGAAGTAAATTGTAAACTGGAGACACTGCGCAGGCAGTTGTTAGCTGACACGATTTTATAGACGAAAATTCTATTTTCGAAGAATACTGAAATCACTTGGAAAAAACAATATGAAATGCGCGCAGAAGAAAGCTGAAATCGTTTGGGTGCATCTCCAGGAGACCAAGGATGTTGGTTCATGCAGTGGTAATCTCAGATAGAGGGCGTCCTAAGGCAACATGGTTGAAAAACTTTATGGTTTGGATGGGGAAAGATATTTTGTTCGCGAGATGCAAAGTTATCAAAGTGCAGTAACGGTCTGTGGACTATGGCAGTAACATGACCCGACACAAACATGTTATAAATGACTTACACCAAATTGTTGCATAAATTGCATGTTGTTTGCTGACATGCCTGGCTGCATCTGCTGCATCTGCTGCATTTGCATTCCATACACACGACCTTCCTTCTCTGCTTCATAATCGGCCCATGCCTCTTTTCTCTCGTCCTCTGTTAGTTCTTCTGCAATTTTGTTCTCCAGAAGGGAATCGTGTTCGTGATATTTGACTATCCAGTCTTTCTGATGTTTCAGCAACTCAGCAAGAATGAAATCCTTAAAGAGAAAAATTATGAAATTAATAATAACAATAATAACAGTTCACACAAAAAGAAAATACGACAAAATTTGGAAAACAATAAATCAACATACTTTTGGAAGTGCTGGTGTTGGTCTCTCAGGACAATTGGGATCATCGAGGCGATCTGGAGTAAAATTGTAAAGCTCAGACAAATCCCTTGCTGAAAAATGTCGTTCAATCTGGTGTTCATCAACGACACGTTGTGATAAAGACTGCTTTGTAACCTAAAGGGCAAATAAGTAACTAACGATAGTATAAAATGAATCTATTTTAACAAATGTAATACCAATACTATATGAACCACAAAAGCCTCTAGTTTAGTTTCTGCAGCTGTAACTATGTCTGCCCCAGAAAATGCAATGCATATTTGACTTAAACATTTGAACTACATACCTGTCTTTCATATATTTTCTCTTCCATTGTACCCTATTAAAAAATAAATAAAATTATGATTATGAATTATATAATCTTCTCATCCAACATTTATCACTCAACTGGTTGGCTATAACACCATTGTCACAAGGATTTTGTCCCCTTCCCTAGATAATTCCTCCCTGCGCTCTCCAGGCAAAATTCACTATGGACTTGTGGTCAAAGTAGTGTTAATCAAAGTTAAACACTGACGAATTAAGTACCAACCTACTATTCCACACACAATACAGAATTATTGATTTTACCTGTGCCACAAAACGGTAAATGTACACAGCTTTGGTTTGGCCAAAACGGTAAACTCGGAAGATGGACTGTATATCATGGCTAGGATTCCAAGATGCGTCAAATAAAATCACTCGGTTTGCCGCTACCAAGTTCGTTCCGAGAGAGCCAGCACGAGTTGAGATTAAGAACAGACGAGACCTGATAATAACAAGACAGCAATAATAACAATTTAAAAAAAAAAAATAGTAATGACAACAAAAATGTTAATAATCAATACATTGCCTAGCAACATAGACAATGACAATAATAATAATAATGAGATTCAATTTGAAAACCAAACTGAACCACACTCTTCCAATATATTACGTTTAAAGCAGTTGTTTCCCGAGCTCACTCAGTTGACGTGCGCAGGATACATGACATTCAACCTTGACCAGAAGTTTATGCCCATTGAATATGATTTAGAAATGACAATTGGTTAGGATATGATCGATAATGTAACACGTTATAAAAAAAACGCAAAATTGCGCGTAGATGATGTCACGCATGACTGATCACATTGAAAAGCTTATTGTAACTATTCCAGGCCAAGGCAAATGACGATGGAAATTTTCATGTTAATACGAAAATCAACTAAACGCTTCCAATATACTGTGTTTCAAGTAGTTGCCTTTAGAGTTTACTCAAGTGAATTCTTATTGAGAACAGTTTGCAATCTACTTTGACTTTATTATAAAACCTCAAAGCTGGGTATTCATGACGCGATTTGATTCTGTGGAGAAGGCAACACCATGACGCGTGCGCAACAAATCGTTTTTAATGCTGATCCATTCAGACTGCCACGGCAAACAGGGTTGCATCGTCTACCGCTAACAGAAAGCGTAGCGTGTTAGATTAGTTGTACGACTGTAATACAACAGAAGTGAGTGCTTGACCTTTTACTTAAAATGAAAATTGATGGTTTACCTTAGGTCGTCAATATCATTGAATATTTCAGCCCATCGTTTGCGCATGTGAGCTGGGGTTGAACCATCCATTCGGAAATAATCTGTTCCTTTGACCCATGACCCTGTTCCTGCAATCTAAATATAATCAGTCATGAAAAGTCATCTTATATTCTATGACTTTATAATTTACAATATCTATTTAATTTATCATCATTACCATTACACAGTTTACATCTTCCATTCCAAAATCCAGACTGTCAAATTTTAATTGACAAAAATCTGTATGCCCACATAGTCATGATGCCCATATATAGTCATGATGTGCCCATATATAGTCATGATGTGCCTTTATATGGTCATTGTGTGATGTCATCTTGACCACATTTTGGTATGCCGCATATTTTTTGTCATACACAAATTTGATAGTCTGGACAAAGAGGGTAGCAAAGGTCAAAAATGTTACTTCATTAAGAGGGTTTCCATCTTCTTGTGACTTCTCATCAATGTATGTCAGGAAGTCCTCAATCAGATCAAGTGACAACAAACTTTGGCTAAATACCAGGCTAAAAGAAAAACAAATTAGTGTAAGAATCAATTGAAATAAATAAGCCCCAGTGCGTTTCATAATTTGTGTTATTACGCTAAAGTAAAGGTACGGATACACACGGGTATGAGTAAACCAATGTTGGGTACGAGTTAGGCAATGTTGTGCAGGAGTTTGCCAATGTTGAGCACACGGTTATCTAAATCTGGGTACAAGCTGGCTGCCACAGTTTGATCGTAAGGTCTATATTGCAGCCTAGGTTACAGGTTGTAAATCATATATTGATTTAAAGCACCTATTTAGACTGGCTAAGTACTATTTACTAACAAACCGCATACTTTGAGAAGTAGCCCTACGTGGACTGTCGAAGTGTGCTGTGTATCACAACCCAATGGGCTCATCTTACCAGCAGAAACTTGCTGGCCACTGCTTGAGTTTTAGTGCTAAGCGCAACAAATTGCATTGGCCATTGTCATGACTAGTCTTAAGACTCTTTCAGCAACATAAATTGCTTTAAATCCGATTTTAATAAAAGTTTATTAATAAAAAAAAATATGAAGTAAAGTTACATTTCAACTGCAAATCAAATCATTTTTTTTTTATAAATGTAAAGGCATGACATGTTGCAATATCAACCAAGACATTTTTTATGGGCATTGATGATGTTATTTATTGTAAATTTGCTGAGTGACATATTAAGTATGCAAATGAGTAATTAGCATATTCACGCATGTACCAAAAACAATAGGCTGTCTGCTTACTACTATCCTGCATTCTGACAATTTTGAAACCAATCAGACTTACCAAACTTTAGTTATTATGGTAACAAACAATTTACTCGGCAACAGTGATGACAGCATGAAGAAAATGGAAAGCGCTTTATATTGAAAAAAAATAATGATTGTTGCGATGCTTACACTTTATCACCAACCATATCAGCTAGTTTGAGCACTTCCATTAGCAGCAGGAGTTTGCCACTCATTTCCAGGTTGTTTTTACTCTCTTCCGGCACCAAATTACTATACCACTCATCATCCCCTGGAATACCAGGATCAGGTATGATCTCTTCTAATGGTTCTAAACAAATAATTAAATTAATTCAATTTAGGCAATAATTTTTTACATTGTTACACTGCGTCAGGCCATTGCTTAGCAATTATTGGCTACCGCTTAGCAATTATTAAACATTACATTTTTCCAGCCAATATTGGTTCATTTGGGGGTCATTATTTTCCAATAATACACTCACAGATTTACAATAATTCATTATTATACCTTCATCACCTAGTCTTGAGTTTCTAGTGCGACTCCTTGTTTTCCAAGAGTTGACGACTTCAACACTACTGTCAGACTTTTCATCGTCTGATTTTTTACCACTGGTTTTCTGTTTGGCTTTAGACATCAATTCATCCCTGGTGAAAAAATAAAAAATGCTAACTACCACTAAAAATGAAGTTGTACACATTATATGTTACACTGTATCTTCTTTTACTCTTCATGAGAGCAGCCTAGCTCAGTCCGCTAAACTGGTGGTAGCCTCTGTGTGCGCTGAACTGTGAAAAATCCCTTGGTCCCCGGTTTCAATTCCTATTGATCCCTGGTTTCACATTGCTGCTTTCAATGTATTTCAGCTGGAGGGCTGAAATGCAAGTTACGATAATGCACCTTCTTTCGGATTAGACAGGATTAGATGTTTATGCCATGTACATATGGCCCATGAGCATGTTAAAGAACGCAGTACACTCTTCGGAAACGGTAGGGAATTGTCTCCCAGTGTACAGCCGAATCACCACCAGAAAGAAGTTACTGGAAATAAGTCTTCTCCAGACTTTTGTAGGTTATCCTCGGTGATTAGATCCATTCATCCATCCTACACATTCACATCAATCCGAAAGTAAACTAGCCAATCGAAAGATATGTCACGTAAAAGAAAGCATCACAAAGAGAATGAAGGAAATGAATAGAATTATTGCAGATTCAACTTACTCACTATCACTGCTTGCGCTTCCTCTCCACTCTTTCTTCTTTTTGCCGTGTGGCTTGTCATCGATGAACTCAACCAGGCTGTCGTCGCTCATCATCTCCTCACCAGATGTTATGAAGTCGGACATTTCGTCATCATACCGAGCCTAGAATGAAAGAAATTTCCACAATGTTACACATTGCGTCATTGGTCGTTGCTAAGCTATTGCTTAAAATTGCATTAAATCCAATAATTATTACACAGCGACAGTGACAACAACAACATGAATAGGCAACACAGCTAAAAACAAGAGCCTCCACTGAGCTTCGCTTCTTCAGGGAGGCTAATAAAACAAAAAGTTCAAGAGAAGGGTCTAGTCGGGAATTCAAAGTAGAAGGGGACTTCACATGAATGTCCACCTACCTTAGCCCTCAGGTTTGGGTTGAGGCCAGAAAAATTACGATGATGGCCCTCTCTAGATTGCAGGAAATAGCACTCTCAGACTTGCATTGAATATAAGTTTATTTTTTTCTCTATTTTTAGAAAATGTCACCGATACAGTAATATTAATCATGTCTTAGCAACTGTTCCAACCTTCTTTCTATTGAACTGCATTAAATAACTTACCCTTTTAATATCCCTGATGGAAGACAACCTGAGGACCCATGGGTGAGTCCATATCCTCATCAAGGCTTGGTAATCAGCAAATAAGCCCATCCCTTTGCGCTGTAGACTCTCTCCACCATCTACACGAGCATAAGTACTGAGGTACTTCTCGTACAACTCGATCTGAATTTTAGATAATCTCACAGATATGACGTACTCGTATTTTGGTGGTAGATAGTTTGTGAGGGCTGAATAATCTCTCCGCTGTAAATTAATAATTGATTAATAGTTGTCAAATATTAAGATGTGTTCAGGAAATACATGTCTCCCTCCAAATAAAGACCACTTTTCTGTGGTCCCATATTAACAAATGTCTTTTATTGTTATTAATCTAATTAGAGATCAAAACTGCTAAAGACCACGGAAATCCCATTCCAAGAATTGGTCTTTAATTGGAGGGAGACCTGCACATTTATTTTTAATGAGTTTTGGTGCAAAAGTAACAGGAGTCAACTACATAAGTTGCGACTATAGGCAGGAGTGCTGTATAAATTGGCATTGGTTTCAGCTACACCCTCGCTTGCACATAAACATAAAGTTCATTTCACATAAATGTAAAAATTACTAAAAAAAAAAAAAAATATTAATACATTACACTTATGTTCTGTACACTTTTTGATGTGACAACACCTGTTCGTGATATGACATCACCATAACAATAATAATAATAATCTAAAATTTATAATGGGCCAATTTCAAAAAATGATCAAAGGTACAGTTTACCCTTGAGTTTGTTAAATATGTTTTTAACATGTTTTTAACATGTTTTTAACATGTTGGCTGCCAGCAAACGAATATACTCATCCCACAGGGTGTTTCTGAGGCCACTAGGGACGACTATACTCGTCAAAATCAAGGTAACATTCTAGAATTTATTTCTTCTTTGGTATACATTATTGAATCACATACTTGGTAGTTCGGTGAAGATACACCTAGACGATAAAATACAAATAACGGATGTATGTTTGTTGTGTTATCTTGCCGGCAGTACACTTAATTGCTCGAGTGGGGGCGCCCTCTGAACATATATCAAAAATATATGCAAAAAGCAGATAAGAAAAGTCACACTTGGCAGATACAATAAAAAATGCTGCTCCAGTGCTGCCAATTTATTAGACACACCATTCCGATAATATATGACTAGATATATGACTTTGGAATTATGTGCAGAGTGGAGATGACAACAAGGAGCATAGTAAGGGTCATAAATGTTAAAATAAGCATCTTAAATAAAATGTGTTGCCTGACATATGGATTGCCCATATACATATGGATTGCCCATATACATATGAATTGCCTATATATGGGCAATTCACTGATATCTGTTACATAAAACAGAGCTTCCTTATAAAAAAAAAAAAAAAAAATCATACTATCTCTGCTGGGAATGGATCATTCTATTAAATTTATAGGGGTGTTCTGGTAAGTTGGCTTATTCAGGTATCTAAAAACAGAACAGACTGAACTCAATAAATTCATATCCAGTAGCTGTATCTCTATGCTGTATGCTTACCTGCACACAGCCAGACAGCATGTCATGGAGGACATGCGCACGTCTCTTCATAACACGAACATCATGTCTGCTGGCGTCTGAGCTCTGTCCATTGGTTATTGGATTCACAAATCGATTGCAAAATTCCTTCTTGGTTCCGAGTAAGCTAGGCTTTACAAAGTCAACCATACAGTGATCTACAAAAAAAATAATCACAATTTAAATGATGATTATATAAACTGGTATATTTAGCTTCTATATATCCCAACCAATTTGATACACAGTGTTTGATAATACAACCTCTAACTTACATTCTACGAGGTTATTTTGAAGTGGCGTTCCGGTAAGGCAGATACGTCTACGGGTCTTGATTTGGTTAAGGGCCTTTGAAATAGCTGTCTGTGCATTCTTCAACATGTGTCCCTCATCACACACCACAATGTCTGGGCCTAAGGTGGAGACAGAAAGGTTTATCATGCCAGTAATAATATGTCATCAATTTTAGAATTTTTTAGCTGATTCCTATTCGTATACACCAAAATATTCATAAATAGGAACAATATATTTATTAACAAAAGCAAAGCAGACAGTGCACTGATGGTCGTGGGTCAAGAGGATTCCATGGCAACAGACGATTTTTAGTAATGATCCATGCACAATACCACCAAAAATCAGCAGAGTGCATTGCATCATCCAGCGACCGCAGAGCGGAGATGGATTCACTAGCCTGATTAAGATTCGGCAAGAGGAAACATGGTATCAACATTGTGGAATGAAGCTTTACTGGTGAATAAGGTGCTTACCTTTTAATCTCATGGTCTTTGGTTCAAATCCTACATTCTAATTACTAAAAAAAAAGTCCACAAGTAAAAACAAGCCTAGTTTTTTTTAAGCTTTATGCCCTGTCCAGTCTATCAAATTTTAACTTAATACAATTACAACTGAAAAAAAACTGTCGTTACCTGGGTCAATAAGCGCCTCGTAGAAGGTTTTCTTCTGCGATTTTTTGCGTATACGAGCACCAGTGGAGAGATTTCGGTACATTGTGTAACCCATCACCATCACACCGCCGTTGTTGTGCCAAAATCGTAGACTATCAGCTCTTCCCCAATTATCCTTGATAGATGACATTTCATACACCTTTGGGATAAAACCAAACATATATTCTTAAATAGTTATATTACTAACTACTAAATCCTTTCCGAGCCACCGGGGCTCATAGGGCTGGAGCTTATCCCCAGTTTCTGTAGTGTGAAGCGGATGACAGTTGTACTCCCCCTGGATGGGACACTAGTCCATAGCAGGTTAGTCCCCAGCAAATTGCTGGTACCCATTGATAGAGCTTAATTTGGTGGGGAACAAAGTACACCTCTTGCCCTAGCCCTTCAAATTTATCCAATGAACAATTTTGGCCCCTATTGCGATATATTGAAAAACCCCTGGTTTATGCCTTATGTAGGGATCATCATTATCTGACATCATCATTATTCCATTCTAACCCCTTCGACTAACGACTGATTTCAGCTATTTCTTACCTGAAGAGTCTTACCGAGACCCATGCAGTGAGCCAAGATACTGTCTCTTATACACATCTAGATGTGTATAAGAGACAGCATTATTGGCCAAATTAAACTTAAATAAAGTAACTTATTGGCCCTATTTGAGTTCCTAAGTCTGACAAACAGTACTAGTGAAAGCTGCAGTGCAGCACCACCTTCACTGTGAACCAATCAATACACAGGAAGACAGGATGTTCATATTTCGAAAAAGTATGTTCATCGATTTATTTTTTTATTTTATTTGTGTCTCGTCCGGGTCAAGTTGAGACAAGCTCAGCTTCTAAGCTTGATCCAAATTGATGGACTCTTGTAAGTTGTAGTTCCTTTTTCCCATTGATTGAATAAATGTGTAATGAATAATGAATAATAATGAATAATGCATGTTCACAATATATTGTCACAATAGAACCCATGATTGCCATTTTAGATTACATTTTAATCTACACTGAAATTACAAGTACTTACTGGAATTTCACTATCTTCACCCAGCCACTTTTCAAATTCTGCCACCCAGTTAAGTATGGTGTTGAGTGGCGCCACCACAAGGCAGTGTTTAGTTCCTACGTCCTCCGATGTCATCACAGAGTGAATATATGCTATAACCTATACATCAAAAATGATAATATAACCATGAAATATTTGTTTAGCATTTACTCTTACAGTCACTTGTTTAAAGTCCTTCCAGACTGTTAAATTTTATTTGACAAAAACAAGTGACATGCTTAAATATGGTCATGAGATGACATCACATCATAAAGATATGTAGGCACACCATGAAATATATGGCCATACAACAGTTATTTGTCAAAGAAAATTTGATAATCTGGACAGCGCCTTAGTTTAGTCAGCTGGTGTTAGCAACTATGTGTGCTTGGGGCCACACAGATCCTTTGAGACCAGTGATTAACATTTTTGGTGGGTAAGATAGTAGCCTGGTCTACACTGGACTTTATGTGACAAATATATCTGGTTTGCCCATATTATGGGATATATATATATATCAACTATGGATATAAAACCTGATAGTGTGGCGTCACTCGCAGGAAAAAAAAAGTTTGTGTTCATGTTTATGTTGCCTTAGACTGGCAGTACAAATCTACCAAAATATGTATATGTTAATGGTTCTCAACATGCGGCTCCAAGGCCACATAACAAGCACTCACGGGCCAGAAAAACAAGCCAAAAAAAATATATTCTGTTAGGCTTGGGCCTAGATTTCTAACCACAACTGAACTAAAACTGGACATTAAACAACTAGCACAAGCATCAAAGGCTATTAACAGTCACTAAGCAGGACAGATCATGATTCCTAATTTCGTGGGGAACAAAGTACACCTCTTGCCCTAGCCCTTCAAATTTATCCAATGAAAAATTTTGGCCCCTATTGCTATATATTGAAAAACCCCTGGTTTATGCCTTATGTAGGGATCATCATTATCTGACATCATCATTATTCCATTCTAACCCCTTCGACTAACGACTGATTTCAGCTATTTCTTACCTGAAGAGTCTTACCGAGACCCATGCAGTGAGCCAAGATACACCCTCCTCCAGGCTCATCTACCTTCTGCAGGCTTTCAAATGTGGAGTCCCACAGAAACTGAATGCCTTTAACTTGATGAGGTTTCAGATTCTGGGCAATGGACTTATCAACCTCCAGCATCACTTCCTCCTTTTTCTTATCATATTCTAGAGTGCAGGAAGTGACCTTTGAACTCTCCTTTGGTTTCTCATCAGACTCATCAATGACCTATGTTGGAGAAAATAATATACCAATAGTTCCAATTAAAAAAAAAATCATAAAACAAGTCTTTTCATACCAAACAGTGAAGCATCACACCCACTGTCTGAGAACCCCGGATTTCTGTTGGTGGAGAATTTAAACATTTAATCAGGGAGCTTTGATGAAGTATTTTCATAGCCTGAGAGTACCATTTTTTGGCATTTAAAAATACCTATTCTTAAGTGGTGCATGTGGAACTTTTATTTTTGGACCCCCCGTCGGGGACCTTGAATCCTTTTGTGCTATCTCTATCTCTGATTCTGCCTCTAGTAGCAAATTTTGAAAGATCAGTTGTTTACATACTGTATTTAGATATATGACATAAGCCGATTTTGGAATGGCAGGCCTCAAATGAGGATATAAACGCCTAACACAAACGTTAATATGCCACATTAGCTACGAACAAGCATTCTTTACTGGGTCTGTTATGTTATGAAAAGTAGAAGATATGTCACAAAATACCTCTTTTCTTTTTTCGGCAACTCGTTTGCGTCTCTCCAGTTCCAACTGGGCGGCAGCTTTGGTCTCTTCCTTCAGCTTACTGTCCTTCATAACCTTGCGGATGTTGCGACGACCTTTGCCCTTGCTTGGTGTATCTGGTTCTTCACTCTAAAAACAAAATTTATATTTATATCGTATATAGCCCAAAAAAATAATAATGTTATTTATTACTACCTGAATTTTTGATCAAACAGCAGCTAGTAAGGCCAAATGAAAAATGTTTGAAATTAAGAGTTGGCATTTTAGTGTTTTGCTTTTTTTTACATCTCAAAATGTTTTTTTTAATGAGCTAAAACGGCTGGAATAGGCCTATCTTGCGACAGTAGGCGATGCGACAGTGTTATGCGATCGTTTCGCTCTTCAATATAGATTATTAAAATGTCTTTGTTGTATTTTGGTGTATTTTCTACTTTTCCTTCCTACCTACTAGTTTTTTGAATTTTTCAAAAACATGGAAACACAAGAATTTTTTTTACTGGCCTAATCAGTGAGTGCATTTTGTGTCTGAAGAACCTACCATGTGTTAATTTGCTTCCATTACTAAAAAATCATCAAAACACAAAATAAAAAAAAAATATACACAAAACAGTGCGAAAAAATACTACTGCTTTTATCTACACAGCTAGAGTATTATGGTAAACCTCCATCCAGATTATCATATTTTCTTTGAACTGTTGTATGGCCATATATAGTCATGATGTGCCTATATATGGTCATGATGTGATATCATCATGAATATATTTAGGAATGTCAAGTTTTTTGTCAAATAAAAATTGATAATCTGGACAAAGCTTAAACTTTGTCCACACTATCAAATTTCATGTGATAAATAAATGTGACATGCCCATATTTGGGTGTAATATGACATCATCATGTCTATATATTGACACATCAAATTTACTTGTCACACAATATTTGATAGTGTAAACTGACCTTTAGGTAAAGGTGAACACTACCAACTAACCTTCTCTTCATCTCTGTCATCATCATCTTCACTTTCTTTATTTGATGAATCTGATGCCATTTTAATTCTCCTTCGTCTTTTCTTCTTCTTTTTCTTAGTAGTCTCCTCTTTCCCTGATGTCTGGGAGCTGTCATCTCTCTTCTTTGATCTCTTTTTTCTTTTCTTTGGTTTAACTTCTTCCTCTTCCTCATCTTCTTCGTCATCGTCTTTTTCAACCGTCTGTTCATCCTCCTCCTCTTCTTCATCAGAGCTTTCACTCTCCAGCGAGGCACTAGTATCGGAGTTCTTTCCCTTTGATTTCTTGCTTTTAGTATTCTTTTTCTTGCCAATTTCATCAGAACTACTTAGTGACTCTTCAAGGTGAAGTTTCTTTCTTTTCCCAATCTTTCTATTTCCATCTGACTCTGATAGTGAACTGGATTCCCGTTTTCTCTTTCTTTCCATCATTTTCGCCCTTCTACTGGCACGTTTTTCTCTCATATTCTCAGTATCCTCCTCACTACTGTTGCTACTCTCATTTAATTTTACCTGCATAAGGCGATGAGATTTTTTCTTTTTCTTTTTTTTCCTAGCATCAGAATCAGATTCTTCTTCATCAGAACTACTTTTGTCTTCCTCAGTTTTGTCTTTCTTTCCCTTTTCTGGTTCATCATCATCATCATCGCTACTGCTATTATTCTCATCAGACTTTTTCTTTTTCTTGTCATCGTTGGAATCAGATTCATCGCCTTCTTTATCAGAACTACCTTTGCTTTCCTCTTTCTTCTCTCTTTCCTTTGACTTATCAACATTCTTTTTGTCTTTTTTTTCTTTCTCTGATTCATCATCCATTTCATCTCCCTTATCATTATTTGATGAGACCTCTCCATCCCTGGCCTGTTCAGCTTCCATCTCTTCCAACACCAACTTCTCAGCAATCTTCTCAACATCTATTTCACTTTCATTGCCATCAGCAGACATCATTGCACTATTTCCTAAGGCAACAATTTCTTGGTCTGATCCATCACTATTTCTTTCTCCATTAAGTTTTCCTTTTCTGTCAAGAGCTTTCCTTCTTCTTTCTTCCATGCCATCACTCAAATCAGAGGAACTAATATCCAGATCTGAGTCATCCAATTTTTTCTCAGATTTTGGTCCCTTTTTTTTATTTTTAAGTTGTTTATCTTTCTTTAGTGGTTTTTTAACTACTTCTTCTGATTCGCTTGAATTTCGTTTTGCCTTTCTTTTCTTTTTTGCAAGTCTCGCTATGAATCTTTCTACTGCCGACTCTGAGTCTGATTCACTGCCAATATCATCATTCGCATTTTTTGAAGCCTTTGCTGCTGTTGACTTGTCCTCATTTGAAGAACTCTCTGCTTTATTTAAAACTTCAGACTCCTCAACCGAACCTTCATTCTCTTCCTCATCCTTCATCATCTTATTTTTACCATTCTTACCTTTTATATTTTCCTTTATTTGTTTTTGTTTTTCCACATCTAATCCTACTTCAAAATCATCAGAACTATCAGCCACATCCCTTTTCTCCTCTTTCTTAAGTTCTTTTCCTTTAATCATTTTATCTGATCCTTTATCCTTACTTAATGAATCATCAGAACTTTCATCCTTCTTATCTTTTTTATCCTTGTTAATCTTCTCTTTCTTAATTTCTTTTTCTTTGTTCATTTTGTCTGATGTTTGTCTTTTCTTAACATCAAATTCAAATAAGGAGTCATTAGAACTATCTCCATCACCACTTGACAAAACTTTTCCATCAAACAAAGGAGTTGTTTTCAATTTCCTAGGAGATTTTGGTACTTTTTTCCTTACAGAATTGGAATCACTTAAACTTCCGTTTTGTAATTTTCTTTTTGTCTTTTTCTTAGTCTTCTTTCTTTCGGTTTCTGATTCAGAATCTTCATCACTTTTGTCCGACATTGTTTCTAAAAAAATAGAAATCTGTTTTTCTAATGATTCAGTCAAACTTCGAACAGCCTTTAAGTTCTTAACAAATTTTTTCAAACAATTTGCCTTCATACTTCTAAAAACGGAGTGCTGTGGTTTGAACTTCTGCACCTTCACAAGTTTTAGTTCATCAACGATTGCATCAGTGTGCTTTTTTACACTGAAAAAAACTGATTTATCTGAAGACTTAACACTCTTGCTGTTAGATAAATTCTTCTTTTTCTCATATAGAACTTTAGTACACAACTGTTGGAGGTCAGCAAGCTGATATGAATTACAGCTGTAACACTGCCATTTACTGTCTTCATCTGCGTTTAATATCTCTGATAGTTCTTCACGTCCAAGGTTACGAATGATACATGCCCGACAAAAAACCTTGCAGCAAAAGTCACAGCAAATGAGTTTGCCGCCCTCACCACACCAGTGGCACTGTTCATCGATATCATCTTCATCTTTTGTGAAACAGCCACTTGTGTAGAAGTTATAGCATCTCTATAAATAATAAGGTACACATGATAAAATTAAATAGTACAATCTCTGGAATATATCAGCTATGTATTTGTTAGGCTCGGGAAGGTTGAGCCTGGTTCAACTTTGCTGATTGCATTGCTGATAATCAGAGTGTCTGCACAGTTGTGTCAGGGCAACTAGCATTGCACTGCAACGCAATCGGCAAAGTTGAACCAGTTTCAACCTTCCCGACGACTTTTGCCGACTATTGAATATAGAGTGAGTGATTCTATGGAAACAGAGCTTTAGAGACCACCGGATGATTGGGTTGCTGGTTAAATAGCTCTCACCCGGCTGCGTATTTCAGTCTAGAGTTTATTATATCTATTGTATCAATCTGGTTTAAAAACCATTTTTTTTCTACTGAATTTCCTTTCTTTTTGTATATCTAGAATAACGATCTAGAGAGATTAATCAGTTAAAATTGGTTTATATGACACCAATGAATCTAAAGTTGGCCCCCTATTTTCAAATAATAGTTATCAAATATGATCCATTTTGTAATGTGTCACTTTAGACAAGCCTCTTGACTTCTACATTACTACTGTTTTAGAACTGTTTTTTAACATCATATTCATAAGACGGTAAAAGTAGGGGTAAAGATAGAATAACCCCAAATTCATAATTCACTTTATTGCAATCGTATAACATACTGGATATTACGAAATATTTAGAGAAGGAAATAAAACAAAAACAGGTAAAATAAAAAAAGCAGTCATAGAAAAAAGAAACAATCCTAACTTGCAGCGCATTGTGGTAAATAGCCTAAGGGCAGGGTTCAGGGGTTTAGTCAGAAAACCGAAATAGGCCGTCCAAAATGGTAGCTAGCCTTCTGGAAGACGCAATGGGTTCTTTCAAGTGTACAAGAGCCAAATGTGAAACAGTGGACCTCCATCCAAGAGAAGACTTTTTCCAAGATTTCACCAACCAAACCCTGGGTCGAGGAGAAGCACAAACCAGTGCTGACATTAAGGCTGTCATTAGCGCCATCCCTGCCTTACCAGTCAGCGACTCAACCCACTCAACGAAACTGATAATTGGGCCCTCAAGGCATCATAACCAAGTCTATGATGCCTGATGAGAGGTAAAACGATCATTTGAGACAGGCAAATCACACATGCCATATAAAAACTTGTGTATGAAATAATAATCACTGTACTTACCCTGCATATTAGGACTTTAAGAGACGGATGTTCATGGACATATCTTTTGATATCCGGATTAAGTTGTTCACTGCAGCTTGTACATCGTACAACATCTGAATTGGCTGGGGAGGAAAACATTTTAAAAATATAACATATACAATTATTTTTAGAAAGTGAATTTAGGGGCTTATGATTAAGCACTAGCTCACAAAATAAGGTGGTATGAGGTGTTTTTAACTACTTAAAAATAATTTTTTTGCTTTGAAACATATCCAGTGGGGAAAATGGTTGAGGCAATATTACATAATAATTTCCTTGAAAAAAGTTTGTTGCCTCCAAAAAAAGTCAAAGCACAATAAAGTTTTCTTTGATAATTTATGGTTAAGTCAGATAAGTGTGTAATTTCAACATATGTTGCCATGGTGATATATCAAAATCTTGTCACATAAGGTTGAGAGTGTGCACAGAGTTTAGAATTACTTACTGCCTCTATTTCTTTTTTTCTGGAACTCAGGCCCCTTAAATTCATTGTCACTCACACTCTCAGGCTGCACCACAATGGTTCCTTAAAAGAAAAAAAATGAAAATTACAAGATCTTACTATTGTGCGTGCCACTGTAATCACTATTTTTTACCAATGCTAAAAAAGTTTTGATTTAAGCTATTTATGGTTTGATGGGTTTTTTGTTTGAGCATTGTTTCTTGTCGTTTTTGTCATCGTTCAGTTTTTATTTTCCTTTCATTTTCTCTTCGTCTGTCCTGTCTTTTTCTTGTATCGTGTGTAGCCTCCTGTATTTGTGGTCAGCCCACCTCAAGCCTTTGCTTTTAGGGATCTTGCCCTCCTTATTTTTAACATGATTATCAAATGTATCTTATTAAAGAAAAGATAAATAAATGTACATATGAATGAATGCATAAGTTAATTAAAAACTTTCTTATATAAACAAACTTAAAAGGATATTATACTGTACACTGCATATTCTTTATTAGAAAATATTGACAACTAAATGTATTACAGTAGAACCTCGATTTTACGTACGGTACGGGACCAGAGGGCGTACATAAATCGGGGGATTCGTAAAATAGAGGTTGAGTTAAATTTGTGGTAACCTTTGACCTAATACGTAGGTAACGCTCAATAAACGTATGTACGACCGAACGATGATACCTAGGCTAGACCTAGGCCTACGAATAAAACCATGTGTTTAGTGTTTTTATTCATCACTTTACGATGTCATAATAAAGTGTTCAAATAAAACCATGTGTCTAGTGTATTAATTCATCGTTTTATATCTTTTATTTAACTAAAATAAAGAACATGAAAATATTGTAAGATTACCTATACGACAAAGGTATAACTTGGGAATTCCCCTTCATGCCTATTCTAAACAACAGAGATGTGGTGTTGTCTGGG